AAGGTAGTGTGTTATAATCTCTCCAGCAGGAGTCCGGAAGGCCCTGTGTCCAGGGCTCTCCTAGCTCAGGCTGTCACCCGGACAGCGTTCCCGCCCTTTCGTTTGGGAATGCCATCAGAAAAAGAAAGGCATTTGTCTGGCAGATTTGTTCCTGCTCAGTCTGTTCCACAGGTTGCTGTCTTGTGTGACAGAGCAGAGGGGGGTGATGTGTCCCTCCTTCTCCCCTTAGTATTCCTCCCACAGCTGCAGGTTTGTTATGAGCCCTGGGGGCTGAGAGCCACCAAACAAAACTATAAGAGAACACTCCCCCTCAAAGCCAGAGCCTGCTGGCCCTGGCCAAGTGACTCTGTTTTCACTTGCCCTCGAGGGTAGCGGCAAAGGGCACATGACACTTTTGTGCTGAGAGAGGGAAGGGCTTGATCTAGTAGTTCCCTGTCCTAGGTTTAGGATGCAAACCCCCACACCATGCCTGATATTGGGTGCATTAATCTGCAAGCCCAGAAATGGTGAGCTCTAGTCCCAGCTCTTCCACTGACTGGTGTTAACATTTCTGTGCTTAACAGACATCTTTGTGAGCCCAGGTGTCATGCCATAGGGGTCACGCTCATTTGCCCATCTCCTTGAAAGGAGAGCTACAAAGAGTTACCCCTTTCAGCGCTGAGACCAGAGACCAGGTCCTGCAGAGAGCAGAGCTGCACTTACTCTACTTTGCCACACAGGGGTTCAGAAGGACAGTGTCACCCACCCTAGCTCCACGTTGCCCTCTAGCAGCTAGACCACATGTACATGTGTTTCAGAGTGGTAGCCGTGTTAGTCTGCATCAGCAAAAACAACGAGGAGTACTTGTGGCACCTTAGAGACTAACAAATTTATTTGAGCATAAGCTTTCGTGGGCTAAAACCCACTTCATCGGATACATGCAGTTTTGTTTGGACATATTCTTAGAGGTCCTGTGAATGAGATCTGATTTGGGGCCCACCAGCAGAGCTTGCATCACTGCAGGCTGGAGGATGTAGGGTCAGTGAGGTGGGGCCCCCTCACTGAAGAGCAAGGATTAAATAAATATTCCTCAGGTACCTCATTCACTTGGCACTACCCAGAGGGCTTTCCTGGAGCATGAATCAGGCCTTGAAAAGGGTGTGAGTAATGTGGAGCTCTCATCACATGTAATTAAAGACTGTCTCTGGATGCACATGCCTGGGGGCTGAGCAGAGGGTGCATGGCCCCCTAAGAGCCTCAGTTTTGCCTCTTCTGAGGTTTGAGTGCTTGGCTTTGGAACCTGAACCTTGTGTGAATGCAGATTTGAGACTGAACAGGTCTAGTGGCATATTGCTCTGGTGTTAGCGATGCCTGGGCAGGAACAGCTAAACACCATGCACCATAGCATGGGGCTGAGTCCTCTACATGCATTGTTATGCCTGGTGATCTAGGTTATGGTACTAGCCCTCAGTAGTGCCTTGATGTGACATGCTGGCTGGCACAACCGGGACAAGGGCGGTCAGACCTAGTGGTTGGAGCAGCAGTCGGGCCGAGTCAGGTACTGGCAGATCAGAGTCTGAGACCAGCCAGAGGGTGAATGGAGAGTCAGGCAGGATCAGGTCACCAGGAGATCGGGGTCAGACGCCAGCTTGCAGGCAGCAATTGAAGAGCAAAGCCAAGGACAAACCAGGGCTGGAAGCCAGAGTCTAGGATCTATTGTGAGTAGGTGCTGGAGCTGTCACTTCCTGGTTTAAGCCCTAGTATCAGCCAATCAATGGGCTATAAGGGGCTGCCACTCAGGGCCTGCTGGGCCAAGTGGGGCCAGCTGTGGGGGTGGGCAGGCTGGGCGATGCCCAACATATGCCTTCCTGGGGAGGCACTTCCAGAGCAGGGGAGTCCTGTCCCTCTTGCTCCTCTTCAGCTGTCTGCTGCCACCACTGCTCCTGCCCGCTCCCCCCGCTTGGAGCTGCCCCTGGCCAACCTGCTCCTGAGAGCCTCCTGTGTGCTGTGCAGAGGGTGGGGGGCTGATGTTGGGGAATCCCCATCCCCCTGCCTGTGTACCCCGTCTCCGCTGAGCTGGGGTGGGGAGACAGGAGTCCGTGTGTGTGCTGCTGCGCTGCTGTGGGTTAGGAGTGGGAGCTGCTGGCAACTGCTGCTGGACTGAGCAAGCCTTCAGAGTGCTGGGCTTAAAGCAGGGGTGGGCAAACTTTTGGGCCCAAGGGTCACACGGGAATAGAAATTGTATGGAGGGCCATGAATGCTTACAAAATTGGGGTTGGGGTGCGGGAGGGGGTATGGGCTCTGGGGTGGGGCTGAGGAGTTTGGGGTGTAGGAGGGTGCTCTGGGCTGGGACTGAGGGGTTCGGAGGGCGGGAGGCAGATCAGGGCTGGGGCAGGGGTGTGGCCTCAGACCCCGTGGCCCAGCTGGAGCGGCCGAGCCACCCACGTAGTGCAGCCCCCGACCCAGCGCCCCGGCTGGAGCGGGGCTGAGCCGCTTGGTGCGGCTCAGGGGCTGGCTTAAAACGACTCGTGGGCTGGAAACACACACACACTCACACTCTCACATTCCCCCAACACACACACTTGTGTTGTTATTACTTCTTGGTATTTCCTATCGAAATGTGCAAGGCCCATATAGTCTGTGTAATTTTATTCTTTCAAAGTTCGTTAAGGATTACAGTGCTGTTATTTTATTTTTTTGACTGAGAAATAATTTTATTTCTCTCATATGCTTAAATTTAATTCTTTGAGTAGTCAGTTCTAAAATGCCTAACCCCCTGTCCTTGCTGGAGTAATTATCATTATTACTTTTATTATCATATTGTGCTTTGTCATTTATTATTTAAAGTGGTACAATCAAATAATAGTATCCTCCTAGAATGTAAATTTAGCTTGTAGTCATCTTAGCAGTGTCAGTTAAAAAAAACATTAGGTAAACACACAACTTGCAGCCTTGTGCAGATGAAGGTTGCTTATTTTCAAATTGTATTTTTAGTTATATCTGTAAAATAACTTATACTTTGTATGAAAATAAATGCAGTTCCAAGTATGATACTAATAGCAATGATGGAGTCAAATTTGAGTTTCACGTACATGATTGTGATCAGTAAACATAAATGCAAAAATAATTAGAAAAATAAATTCCCTTTCTTAATAAAAGAGTAAAAACCCCTACTCACATATGTTAAAATTAAGTAAATACATTTTTAATGGAGTGAAAAAAACCTAACTGAAATATAGTAGATATAGTGGCAGTAACAGCGTGTGTCTGTTAAGAAAGTAAGCCGATTTTATTTTTCTCTACTAAAGATAGTGTACAAAGTATCAAACTTGTGTTTCTGATATCTGTGTTAAAGCCGCAGAGTTGATCTGTCTAGGTTTGGGATTGGGAATATTTTGCTGTATTATCTCCTGATTGTTCTAAATTTACATATAAACTGAAAATGTGGCTTTAATTGGTGTTTGTATGTATTTTTTCTTTCTTTATATAACAATTAAATACAATGCTCCTGTCAGCTAATTCCTAAATTATTATCTCCAAAAACACTATAGTTTTCGGGAACCTAAGTAGTCCCTGGAATCACGGTTAAAGTTGCCTTCCACCCCACAAAATCTGAAATGGTGCCCCGGTGAGCCAGGAGTGGTTACAGGGCTGCAGGATGGCAGTGGGCTCTGGCAAGATGCAGCCCCTGTGTGACAGTACAAAGCCCACGTTAAGCCACAGGCTGAGTGCCAGGCACCACAAGTCGCAGCAGTAGTGCAGAAGGGTGGCAATACACCATATAGTATGCCACCCTTACTTCTGCGCTGCTGCTGGCAGTGGCGTTGCCTTCAGAGCTGGGTGCCCAACCAGCAGCTGCCGCTATCAGTCCACACTGCCAGTGCTTAATTGGTGCCAGGACTGAGGTCTGGCAGCTCTTTCAATACAAATTAAGCACTAAGGGAAGGCAGCAGGGCCTGAAAGTGTTGAGGTGGGGGGAGGGGGAGAGGGGAAAGCCTAGGGAACCTATGGGGGCCAAGGGTGATGGGGAAACCAAAATACAAGTTCGCCCAGGGCACCATTTTCCCTAAGGCTGGTCCTGCTGCCCAGCCCAGCCTCACAGGCTCCTCCCATGGGTCCAGCCTAAGCCTGCAGTGGTGTCAGCAGCACAGCATCCCTGTGGGTCCAGGTTCCTACACTGGCTCCATGGCTAGCTCACCTTTTCCTGGACTGCTTGGCAGACTTTTCCTCAGTTCTTGCTTGTGCCGGTGTTGACAGCAGAGCTGGAGCCCCAGGAGAATACAGTGAGGTCAGAACTGGGATTCCCTGCTGGGTACATGCAGCAGCCAAGGGTCTGTCCACACAGCAAAGAAAACCTGCAGCTGGCCCATGCCAGCCGACTTGGGCTCGCAGTGCTCAGGTTGTGGGGCAGTTTCACTGCTGTGCGGATTTATGGGCTCTAGGAACCTGTGGGGTAGGAGGGTCCCAGAGCTCAGGCTCCAGCCCAAGCCCACACAGCAATTAACCAGCCCCACAGCCCAAGTCAGGTGGCAAAGGCCAACCATGGGTTTTTCTTTGCTGTGTAGACAGACCCTAGTGGCCCAGGCAGGGACTTCCCCTCTCACAGCCTGGCTTGCTCACTGCCTGCTTTGCACCTTGCTGTTCAATGAGTCACATTGCTCCTCCCCAGAGAGCCTCTGCCTCCCAGACTCCTCCCAAAGTCACGTGCTCTGCACAGCATGTTGTATTAGCATAAAGAGTTGATACAAGACACACAGCAGACCCTCACACTCTGTGCCTCTCCAGGGAACGTCTCCAGGAAATGAGGGGTGCTGCACGATCTTGTTGGAATCTAGGGCACTCTTGACAGGCTGCGGATGGGCAGAGAATAGGGGGGTAGAATTGGCAATTATTAGCTGTGTTTGTTTGTCTCACTCCTGCCCCCAGACCTTCAGATTGTAGGCCCACTTTCCGTATCCATCTCTGTTTAGACTTTGCCTTGTCTGAAAGCCAACTTAACAGGACCCTCTTCTTCTTCCCAGCAGAAACCCAGGAAGGTCACTCCTCAGCCAGGAGAAGATTCTCTGAATTGCCCTCTGCCTCCCGGCTGGCAGAGCTACATGTCTCCCCAGGGCCACAGGTACTATGTGAACACCTTCACCAACGGTAAGCCCCATTCAGGCGCATAGCACCTTGGCTTTGCTGTAATGAAGGGTCTCGCAGGTCTGTTTCTGGGTGTTTCTAATTCACCTCTGGACTGGTCCACACTGGTTTTCAGGGAAACAATGCAAAGAACAAAAGCATGTGAATGGTACAAATAAATTTCATTGACAAATTCCAGCGACATCAAGAGGAACTCCAAGGAAGCATGGTTAAGCACTCACTCTGAAGTGCCAGAGTGAGGGATGTCTGTGCCACCTTAATGCGGACCCTGCAGTGTGTGCTGTAAGAGGCCGTCTTTAGTTCCATAGTACTTTTCTGGCGTACAGGATTCAGACTGGTGCATGGCTGATTTCAGACATGGCCATTATAGTTTTAAACTGAAAACTATTTTTTCCATCAGCTAACAAAAATGTCTGTGTGATTCCAAGTGCAAAGTGTTCCATCGCATAAGGTAGTGATAATGGCAGTCCATGTGTCTTGGCTCTTACAGAGCCCATGTGCTGTGATAATTGGTGCTTTATAGGCAGAGGGATAAATATGGATGTAGAACCACTGATCGTGTGTAGTCACAGTTTGAATGTTGTAAGTTTGTTCTGATCTATAAATGAAAAATGTCTGTGGGTTAAAAGTTCCAAAAGTGGTTATGTGACTTAGGAGCCAAAGTCCTCTTTTCCAAAGGCCCTTAGGCATTTAGGAGCCAATCTTACTGGATGTCAATGGAACTTCAGCTCCTGTGTCACTTGGGCACTTTTGAAAATTTTACCCTAATTCTTAAACTTGCAAAAAGACCCCATTTCTAACCTGAACTGAGTGTGTGTCAATGCAAGGGGTCTGTGGATAGCCTGAACCAGTGGCTCTAAGGGCTGTGAAATAGCTTGGGATAAGCACAGAATAAACTGACAGGAACCCATTCATCTTTCTTGGTCTGAGCCAAATCTCTCTAGATTTGAGCCACTGGCGTCAGAAAGAGAATGATTTTTCAAACATGGTGCTTAGGCCACTCAGGCTGCCACCCTCTCCCAAGAGGGCCTGTGCTCTGGATTGCTGCTTTGGGGACTGCCTTTTTCATTTCCTTTTAAAATCAGCTTTTTTCTTCACTCTAAAATGTTTATGCCAAACATTTCCTCCCTCCTCCCCAATTTGTTCAGGCTCTGTGCATGTGTAACCCACACACCGCCTGGGTGTGGTGTTCTGTCCCCTCTAGTGGCACCGAGACCGCTTAGAGAGAGAGATTAATGTGTCTGCTCTACAGCCTTAGCTAACAGCCATATGGCTTTTAGCTCATGCAGTAGAGGCTCATGCATTTAGCTCCCAGGCTCGATCCTGCCCACTAACGACCGGGGTCTGTCGGCGTTACATATAGCCAGAGATGCTGGGAGAGAATGAGTGGACTTTGCTCCTGCCCCATGCAGTGGTCTGGTCCTCCACGCTGCAGGGGCAGACAATAATAATGAGAGGTGTCCCCAGAGCTGTATCTTTATGTAACCCTTCTGCCCATCTAAGTTGGCAGCAACAAGGGCCGGGTTCTGTATCTAGGGGTTCCGTTTCAATAACGCGATGCAAAACCGGCTCGAGCCCTCACCCAGCGACCAGGGACAATTACATACCACCCCCTGGGTACCTCTAAGAGGCAACACTTCCCCTCTCGCAAGCACGGAGTCTGAGTGTAGCAAAAAATGTTTAATAACATGAGGTAAACGACATCAGCATTAAATTGGAAAAACACCACAAACAGGATTCATAACACAAACCATGAGCAAAAAAACCCACCCCAGCAAATTGGGCTGTGTCCTTTCCCTTTGGTTCTTGAATCCAGCAACCCAAAAATCACCCAGAGTCCCCAAAGTCCAACACCCCCAAAGTCTCTTGGGTCCAGCAACCACCCGAAGTCCCAAAAGTCCAACAACCCCCAAAGTCTCTGTTCCTGGTCAGTGCAGCCCCAGAGTAAAAGGGGGGCACACAGGGTGTTAAGGGGCACCTTACGTGATCCGAGGCCAGCCGTCTCTCTGTGGGGTATCGCCACAGCCTTCACCACGAGCCAGTCCACTTCCTGCCGTCCCACGAACCGCTCCACTCTACAAGCTGCTCCGCTCACCGACCTGTGAGCCACTCCAGCCGTCCCCGCAAACAGCTCCACTTGCCGTTCCTTGGGCCGCTCCAACTGTTCCCACAAGGCTCCGCTGCTCCTCCAGTCGTCCCCACAAATTGCTCCACCAGCTGCTTAGTAATACAGCTTCAGGCTCCCCACTAGTTAACACAGCACTTAATAACTTTAACTCTTTTGTGATTTCAGCTCAGAGTAGAGGAGCCCCAATACTGGTGCACCATTAGCCTAAAGTGAATTCAGCTCAGCAACCTGTAACTAGACTCCTAATAGAATCAAAGTTAGCTCTGATAGTTAATAGGGGGGAGAGAGAGAGAGAGAGAAGATAGTACAATTGGTGTTTCAAACCCTCAGAGAAGGTTGCCTATACCATCAGGTACAAATACCCATCCTCTGTCAATTCACTGGGTTTTGTAACCCATACCCCTTGTCAAGCAAGTGCTACTTAGGTAATGGTGAAGAACTCACTCAGTCCTTCTGTCATACAACAGTTCCACTGGTCTTGATTCACAGAATCAGGGTAACAAAACTTTATTCTTCCTGCCCCAATAACAGAGAAACTGGGGATCCCACACCAGCCAAAGTAACCACTTTCAGTTGCTGTTGTTTCATGCCAGGCGGGTGGGTGTGCCTATGCAAACAAGATCAGCCCCTGGAGTTCTTTTCCATACTCACCATAATTCACCACCAGATGTCAGGGTAGAGCTCATCCTGACTCTGCTTACATTTACAAGGCACCATCCCAGCATTCCTGACAAGCTCCACACAGAGCTAGGGCAGAGCCAGTAGCCTACTTTTCCAGATGGTGAAATGGGGTGGAAAAGTAGCTTCCCAAGGCTATGCAGCAAGGAAGTGTCCGATGGGGTAGTGGAAGCCAGGGCAGTGCTAACCCACACCCCACATGGCCAGCCCACCCTGCATATCCAGCTGCCTATAGTCTCTCCACTCTTCTGTGTGCACAGTCAGGCTGACACAAACTCGTGGCCAACTCTCACACAGCACTTTCTCCACTGGAAATCTCAAAGTGCTGACAAAGGGGAAGCACAAGTAGCCCTATTTTCCAGGCAGCATAACTAAGCATCTCTAAAGCCACTGTTTCTGAGGTCCTGTCAGCTGGTGTCTGAGGCAGGGATCTATTGTCACATCAGAGATATGGCTCCTGGTACCTGCTCTGCCACAAGTACCCCTGCTGTCATTCATCATTCCTCATAAGTTGCCCCATCAGTTCAGGAAGAGACATAACATTTACAGTCCACGCGCAGCACGTGGCTGGAGGATTCCCCAAGCAGCAGTGGTGAAGTGCAGAGCATTGCTAAGACTAGTTGTAAGCATGGGTGGGAATAGAACGTGGCTTCATTGAGTCCGGGGCTCATAGGTGCTAGAACTAGGGGTGTGGCAGCACCCCCTGGCTGGAGGTGGTTTCCATCATATAGAGGGTTTACATTTTGGTTCATTGTCTCTCAGCCCCCCCATTATAAAAATTGTTCCAGCACCTATGTCTGGGCTCTGAGATGCTCAGAGTGGGGTGAAGAAGGCAGGGGAGAGTGGGGACCCTGTTTCAATGCTGTGTGACTCCCAGAACAGCTGAGTGCTGATGGCTGTAGGGCATTCTAGGGGTTCTTTAACTGCACTCCATGTCTGCTGCTGCCAGCGCTGGTGATAAGCCAGAAAACGGAGTGGCCGAACCACGGGTCATGAGCTGCAGGCGGCTCTTTTACAGTTAAAGTGCGGCTCGTGGAGGACCCCCTCTCCATTTTCCACCTACCAAACTGCGGGGGAGCTCGGGGCTTCTGCCCTGCGGCGGGGTGGTAGGGCTAGGGGCGACTTCCTCTCTGACCCGTGGGTGCTTGACCCCCCTCCTCCCCCGCTCCTGACTGCCCCTGCACCACCCTCACCCCACCCCAATTCCACTCCCTTCCCCCATGTTCACGACCCTGCCCCGCCTCTTTAACGCCTCCTCCCCTGAGCACGCCACGTACTCACTCCTCTCCCTCCCTCCCGGAAAGTCCTAAGCGCCGCCAAACAGCTGTTAGACGGCAGGCAGGAAGTGTTGGGAGGGGGAGGAGTGGGGACGTGGTGTGCTCTGGGGTGGAGGAGGCGAGGAGAGGGTGGGGGCGGGGAAAGCTTGGCTGCTGGTGGGTTCGGAGCACCCCCTAATTTTTCCCTGTGGGTGTTGCCGTGGCGCCCTCGTCTCCCTGCCCTCCCCCGCCATGGGACCCTCGTCCCCCTGCCCTCCCCTGTCATGGGACCCTTGTCCTCCTGCCTTCCCCTGCTGCGGGACCCTCGTCCTCTTGCTCTCCCCTGCCATGGAACCCTTGTCCTGCCCTCCCCCACCGCAGGGACCTCGTCCCCCTGCCCTTCCTCGCTGCAGGCCCTCGTCTTCCTGCCCTCTCCCCCGCTGCAGGACCCTTGTCCCCCTGACCTCCCCCTCATCCTCCTGCCCTCCCCTGCTGTGGGGCCCTCGTGTCCCTGCTCTTGCTGTTGCAAGGCCCTTGTCCCCCTGCCCTCCATGCCATGGTCCTCCCTCCTGAGACACAGGTTGGGTGAGGATCTGGCTGTCTGAAAGAGCAGCTCCCTATTCACACACTGCTGGGATAGGGGCTGGTAGCTGGTCACACCAACAGTGAGACTCTGCCGCTCTGGCATCAGAGCAGAGGCCATGGTGGGCTACCATCTGATGGGGTTCATCCAAATAGGCAGCTCTCCTAGTGAATATTGAATGGAGAGGGTGAAAGATGATCTAGGAAAGAAGGAAAAAGAAGTTAAAAACACACAAAGCCAGTCGGAAATCCTGGAGGTGAACTGGACTGAAATGAACTGAAATTGCTTGATCCATTGGCTGTGCTCCTTTACTGGTCCTGGCTGCCTACATACTTTGGTATCTCTAGGACAGGCAGCA